ATGTAGGTTATATGCCTGATGGAAGAAGTGGTTCATGGAATGGAATTACGCAAGGTGGATCTAATGCTGATATGGTTGTTGTAAGTACATAATTTCATTTAATTTACATAGATTTTTTTTTTAAAATCAATTCATTATATAAATTCGTTAATCATAGGCCGAGACATTCTTAAAAAAAATAGATGTAAATGGTAAAATAAACTGGAACATAGCATACGAAGCCCTGCTTAAAGATGCTGAAATAGATCCGTGGGAAGAAGGGTTGTCTCATGGTCGATTATACTTAACCGAATATAAAAATTATGGATATATTCCTTCCCCTCCTGATCGCCAAATTGGATATATTAACTGTCCAAGCAGTAGAACTTTAGAGTATAGCGCTAATGATTATAGCATTAGTCTTGTTGCTAAAGGTATCTTAAGTTTATTTATTATTAATGTATAATAATGAATACATTTATTTGAATAAATTTTTATTTAGATAATTTTGTGTTTAATTTCAAAGGATTAGGCAAAATTGATGATTATGAAAAATATAAAGATCGTGCGTCTAGTTGGGAAAATCTTTGGTGTTCGGATGTAACTCATGAAGGTAATATTTATCACTTTTATAATTCAAGTTTATATTGGAAAAATTAAATTTTGACCCTTTCACTCTTATAATTTACGATAATAAGGAGTGAAGGGATTCATAATACCAAGATTCATAAACGGCACTTTTGATAAAGAATGGGCAACTGGTAGTAATTTGTTAGGGAGTACTTATTCATTTTATGAAAGCACCTCATGGGAGTATAGTTTGGATGTACCTTTTGGTGTGTAATTAATTTTTTTTCAAAAATCAAAAAAAAATTTGAATTATATCTTATTCTTTGATTATTTTATATTATTTATTAATAAATAAGATGTGAAAAGGCTAATAATATTGTCAGGAGGCCCGAGCAATTTTGAAAATCGACTTGACAAAACATTTGCTGATAAATCATTTTCAGGAGGCCATTATAGTATAGGAAATGAACCTGGTTTTTTTCATACATGTTTATATCATTTTATTGGAAAGCAATATAAAAGCGTGAAAGTGATTAGAGACATCATGAAAATTAAATATGGAATTGGGCAGGATGGAATTCCAGGTTTGTAAAATTAAAATAAAAAATAACTATCAAATTCACATTAAAATATCATTACCTTTGTTTTATCATAAAATATATTTATTTATTTGTAGGAAATGATGATTCTGGTGCGATGGGAAGTTGGTATGCTTTTAACGCTATTGGAATATTTCCATTGTAGGTGGTTTCATTTAATTAAATAAAATAGAACATTGAATATTTAAGAAAATTAATATCTTATAAAATATTCAATAAAATTAATGATTTTGCTTTTATGATTACAGAGCCGGAACAGATATCTACCTAATAAACTCACCATTCTTCAAAAAAGTTACTATATACCTTTCACCATTAAAAACTTTTACGATTTTAGCTCATGGTCTGACAGACATTAATATTTATGTTCAAAATGTTACAATAAATAATAAAGAATGGAAAAAAACTTGGTTTAGGCATGAAGACATTTCAAGCGGTGCAGTAATGGAATTTCATATGGGACCTGAACCAAGTAAAATTTGGGGTGTTATGGAGCATCATGAAGGAGACAAAGAAATAGAAGATAGAGTAGTTCCTCCTAGTATGAGTGATATATTAATAAATAAAAGTAATTAACAGTCACAATAGGTAAAAAAAAATAAAAATAGAATATATTTTCTTGCATATAAATAGATCCTCCTTATTGATTTTACAAATTTTTAGTTACTTAATTCTTATTAATGTTGATATATTCTGTGTCAATCACAAAATTTGTCAAAATTATTAATTAACCCTGATTTTGATAGTCGTTTTGAAATTTTTTTCAAAATTTAAACAAAAATATCTTGACAACTACCAAGCCAAATTCAATAAACTTTTTTTTTTTGACTTCTAAAATTAGCAGAATTCAAATAAAAAAAGATTTGTAGAAGTTGGTTTAGTGATTGTCGTGATATTCGCTTAAATTCATTTTGCTATGTCGATTGTTGCTGTACCGATAAAGGAGATAAGTCATGTAGTTGCTGTGTCGGTCTATTTTCAGGGACGGCAAATATATCGATTTGTATCGATCATATATAAAAATAATATTTTGGAGTCAAATCATAGTGTTTTTATATGGGAAGTGTTCTGAGAAAAGAGTCCAAATTGATAAAAAAAAGTCTTTACAGAAATCAATTATCTCGTAAACTATTAATCAGTATTGCATGTTTTTGGTACCTTCCGATTCGTCTCATCGAGAGAAATTGAATGGTACCAAATTATACAAATACAATTCTGATCAATAGTTTATGAGATAGTTGATTTTTTGTAAACTTTTTTTTTATAAATTTGGATTCTTTTCTCAGAACACTGCCCATATTATTAACCATTAATAATTTGATCATTGCTACCGTAAATCATAGATTCCACCAATTTTAAAACCTATAATAGACCCGGGTCTTGTATACAGCCAGAGTTCATATCACTAAGAGGAATACTTGAAGAGTATACACGTTTTGCATTTATACTGGGCAGTCAAGATATGAGTGTCGCCAAAAGAAAACCCGACAATTTAAATACAGACTATATTTAAATTGTCGGGTTTTCTTTTGGCAACACTCATATTTTAAAAAAAAAATCATGGTTAATTAATATGGATCCCATGATTTGCATCCGGGTATACTACATAGTAGGTTCACTATTATGGAGGATCTTGTATACGGCTATTTACAGTGTGCGATGACATTAAAAAAACTGCATGTTATATGTAAAATTGTAATAAAATCAAACCTTAAAAGCCCAATTTCATAAATTTAATAAAATAAAGAATGATACTGCTCTGTACATTATTAAGTAGTTTTTAGTTAATAACTTGACTAATTGATTAATAATAATTATTATTAACCCAAGAGGTCCCATTATTAGTTGGGTCATATATAATTTTTGAGACACAATTTTGTTGTGTAAAATCCTATATTTAAATATAGGCTTTTTCCTACTGATCGTTGACGTTGAAATGAATTTGGGATCATTTGACTAGATCATTTGCGGGTCAGCCAATGACAAGTTTTTAGGCAAGGAAAATTTTTTTATCGGACTATTGATACGTCAATGATAAAAAAGTCGTATAGAGTTAGTAATAAGCACTGTGCGTGATCTGTACAGAATTTTTTACGTCCCATGCTATATTTTAATTTCCCATATCCCATGCGGATTCTATGTGGGATTTTTGGAGAATCCTTAAAATACGTATAGAGTGTGCATATATAAAGCTGATCCAAGCTCAGAAAATATGGGCAATATAGATACCAATCTACACTAAAACAATACTCTAAACTAATTAAACTCTATCTCGACCCTAATAATGGTAGGCACGAAAGAGGCGTGGAAGACATGGTCCGAGTTAATTAGGGTCAAATAGAGCTCTTGATTATATCACGAAACTCTAATGTCATGGGTTTAGATTACTAACTTTATGCGATTTTGACTTATCGAGGGGGGGGGGGGGGGGGGGGAGTGGGGCGGGAACTTTGGGGTCGCGAAACCGGCCCCCATACGGCACAACCAAACGGTCGTTTCCCCACCCCGCCTCCCCTCC